CCTCAATTAGTATACAACATAAAAGACTTCACAATCAATGACTAAAGCATAACCAGTTCAATTAAATGGTAGTAGAGAAGATTATTATGAGTGTAATATAGTTCAAAATTCACGCAACAAACCATCATTACTTAGATCATAACTTCGTCCCATGCCCAACTGGAGGAGAAACAGGCCCTGTGAAAAAACAGGGTAGCATGTTCAGCATTTCCAAGTGATTTCATAGATAAGATTACTTGATTGTTGTTATCTTAGTTTTCCCATAAGTCAGTCAAAAGCCTAAAATATAGCTTAAAAATACTTATACAACGTCCGAGTGTGCTTTTTATTTGAACATCATTACTAAGTTAAAAATGTTTGTCTATATTAACATATAGACTAAAGTTACTATTATGTGGTTATTATAAGGAAGAGTCGAATAGGAGTAACAACAGCAAGAGGAAAGATATAAATCATTATCTCATGGCTAGTCTCTCATGGTGTGGTGAGGTATTTAACCACATAAACTGCAACCATAACATGGACTTTGTTTGTTACTATGTTCACAAACCTATAGTAGGCCTGTCTCCACGTTCGGTTGAAGAGCAACCGCCTTACAAAGGCCCAGAATCTAACAACAAATCCCAATCCCATCAATTTATTGATGGCATTTCAAAACGGTGTAAATATAATCTTAAATCTAAATAATTTAAAAGATGTTAAATTACTTAAAAAAAAATTCCCTTCTTATTTTTAGCACCCATTTTGCCGTTTTCAGACACACACACACACAGAGGGAGTCTCCTGTGACGTGTTGCCGCGATTGTTCTATCAAATCACGAGTCCTAATTACAGCTAATAATATTGTGGTTATTTCCAATATTAGATTATTTAAATTAGATGCGTCTCAATATTAATTCTTAGCGTAGCGCATTAGATGATTCCATATTTATTTTATTTTAAATCTTTATCTTATTGTAGCGATGCTCTTGTGACGGCTAAATTTTTATTTTCACCATAAGATTTATGGTTATTATATTATAAAATTACAAGTCAATTAAAGTCTTCCTCCTTTTGCCCCCACAATGTAGAAATCTCCCTCAAATAAAAAAAGGCAAAGTATATTAATTCCATCACTAATTTTCCAAGAAGCTTCACGGCCATCTTAGATTATTATATTAGACTAAAATAGGTGATGACGAAGCTGCAATTAAAATCATAGCTTATGAAAATTATGTTTATTTGTACATTTGGTGTGATAACAAAAAGACATTAAAATATTTAGAATAAAATTTAAACTATTCAACTTTTAAATGAACAATTAAAATATATATATGCTTATATAATATATCAAAATTCTCTTGTAACTGGGGAGATTGTGAGCTGTATTCGATGTCCAAAACATAGATAAATAATCGTGACTGTTTATTCGCTGCACAGCTTAATAGACGGTCGGGAAAGATTTAGCTACGTCTAGAATTAACGACATGTACATTCTACGAGAAGAAATATTTTTAGATAAATAATTTTTTTTGGCCCACGGGTGGAGATAAATAATTTGATTTCAAATCATTCAATCACTTAGATAATTACATACACATCCTTAAAAATACTATCTATAAGTTAAGTGACATAATTTGACATTTAATAAAATGTTATATGTTATTAATCATGACATAACTGGATAATTACCAGAAAAAAATAACATAACTAGATATAAGCTTTTGCATACACAGAGTTTCGAAAATGAGATGAGTTACATTATTAATGATTTAGTAGGATTTTTGTTGTTGAAAATTTTATATAATATGTCAACAATAAAATGATTACTATAATTAAAAAGATAATAGCATATTCATTACTAGCAAGAAGACGCAGTAACCGCATCTAACCCAAAAGGAGAAAAAATACTACTGTATAAAAAACCACTAAGGTCCGTGTGTCTTGGTGCATTGTTTTAAATTATGTTAGACTAAAAAGGAGTCATTACGAAGTTGCAATGACCTAACCTTATGTGTAGGGCATATATTCTAAAAATTATTAGGAGCAGAGTAATGATGTTATTGGGACGAAAAAACTCACATTTTCAAGAAGGTGATGTTATTCATAATGACAAAGCCGAAGACCATTAATGTCAACAATTTTGCGTTATGCTATGTGTGTTGACTTGACTATAGACTTGACAAGCTGTGGTGTTTGGAATATAATTATTTCCTTGTCACAGGATAACAACATTATTGAATATTTTATGCGTGTTTGGAATATAATTAGGAAGGCTTAAAAATCAATTAGAACCAAAAAAAAAAGTGAATTGAATGAAAAATGTAGGCTTCAGATAGCTTTTGAAAAAAAAAAAAAAAAGATTTTTGGGCAAAAATATCAAAAAGTTGAAGTAATTTTTTTCTGATTTCTGATTTTTTTTTATTTTTCTTGTGTCATTCAAATTAGTTTATGTTCAACTGATTTTTTTTGGGCAAAAACCTATTTAAACATATATTACACTATATTAATAAACTTTGATCTCAATTTCAATTTGCAAAAGTCCGTTAAATAAAATTTATTTTTTAAAATGTTAATCCAAACAAGTCTTTTTTGTTTTATAGGACTAATCAAGCGTTTATTACACGTTATAAAGACAAAAGAGACCTTATTAGTGTCGGAGTTTCGTTTGGGCTAAGCAACGAAAGCCGAATTAAAATCTATAAACCTGCAAAAGTGATGGATTTGCTTCTTCCTTTTCTTTTCTTTTTTTGCGTCAACGTACAAGATGTAATAAACCTATGTTAATTAGTCAAACTTTTATGCAGACTAATTAAAGATTATTCCACATGGTACAAGGACGAAATTTGCATATTGGAAAAGACGTGGAGTTTCTATAGCAATTTGGACCACCAGATTATGGTTTAATTTTTTAATATACTCTTATTTATATATTGATCTACTTCAATTTTGACAATAATTTTGTGCAAGTGTTTGGAAAAGAAACAATATAAATGTATATAAACTATAAGGTCTATACAACATTTCACCATTATCATAACACTTCTCTCATGCTCTATAATTTCTTTTTTATTCTTTCGATTCAATATAATCTCTCTACAGATCTCATTAGACTGTTCTATGTAATCAACATAAGATATTAGTAGAAAAATCAGTGTACTTTTAAGCATTTTCCAAGATATTATCTCTTTTATTGGTCGAATGAGAGGGGGGAAAATAATCTAGTTGTGACTGAAAATAAATGAATCACTCAACTTTTGGCATTTTGAAAGAGACCCTAATGGAATCCTGAGTTCTCAAGTGCTTATAGAGTAGAGGAAATTACATAATTGGACATTCTTTTTTGTTGTTTGTCAGATATATAGTTGGATATTCTAAATTACTGAAGGCATATTATCTTCTGGGCACTTTTTGTTTAGTGGCAATCCACAAAGATCAAGGTTTCCTTCATAACACGAGGCATTAAAGCTCTGCAATTGTGTTCCTATCGAGATTTTTCTAGAGAGACTGTTGTTTGACAAATCTAATACACTAAGATGATCAATATGAACAAGGCTTGAAGGAATTGGGCCTGATAGTTTATTTTTTGACAAATCGAGAAATTCTAGAGATTCTATATTGCTAATCTTCATTGGTATCTCTCCACTTAACTGATTTCTTGACAAATTTAGGGAATCCAATCCTAACAAAGAGATGAGTTGGTTTGGTATTTTTCCTATTAAAGCATTACTAGAGAGATCAATACTTTTAAGAAAAAATTCTAGCCTCTTAAACACCTGATCTTGACCTTTCCATGCTAATCTTATATAGAATTCAAAAGATGCAGTGAGATTGGGGGATATTGTCCTATTGATCTTATATGTATGGCCACTATCAGCTAGGTTGATGTCCTTTTGTGCCATAACAACAAAATTTTGAAGACAATATGGAATTTCACTTGATAACATATTATGAGAGAGATCCAAGAGCCGAATCTGCTTTAAGTGACAAAGATGCACAGGTAAACTACCATTTAAATAGTTCATTCGCCAAGCTTAGAACTTCTAACTGCCTAAGACCCTCCCCAAGCCATGAAGGTATTGCAAACAACTTATTCTCTGACACACCCAACAATAATAACTTGGAGCAATTCACTAAAGAGAAAGGAAGTTCTCCGGTCAAACTATTGTTTCTTAAAATCAAAGCCTCCATATTCACAAGGAGTCCTAAAGATGATGGGATCTCTCCTGATAAATTATTGTTGCTCAAATCAACAAGCTCCAGTGCATTTAGTTGGCTCCAACAATTAGGTATGTGTCCCTTTAATTGATTGTTTGATAGGTCTAAAATGACAATGCCTCCATCCTCCGTTTGCTCACAAACAAGTGTAATCAAATTTGAGAACTTATTTTCAAAAAGATGAAGTTCTGATGCTTGCCAAAGAAATGATGGAATTGCACCTTCAAAGTTATTTGAATTCAAAATAATTTCTGGTTGATAATTGAACTTGAGTGGTAAATTTGAGATTTCACCAGAAAAATTATTGAATGAGATGTTCATATAATTTATATTTTTTAACAATGGCCAAAACCATTCTGGCATCGTACCTGAAAGCCCGTGATCAGAGATATCCAAACCTAATAATTGATGTTGATTACGAAGCCAAGTTGGAAAATTAGGACCTATCATGCAAGAAGCCATACCCATAACAAGTAACTGAAAAGGAGGAAGCCAACTGGTTCTGATTTCCAAGCTCAGTGGATTGTGAGAAAATGATAAGAACAACCAATTAGAAAGATTTTTGAAATGTGATTTAGTGATTACACCTCCCAAATTATTCCCATGCAAATCCAAACTTTCCAGTTGAGACATCAATCCAATGCTTTCAGGTATTTTTCCTTCTAGTTGGTTACTAGAGAGATCCAAATATTGCAAAAAGGAAAAACCTGAAAGATTAGGTAACATGCCCGTCAAATCGATTTCCTTTTAAATCCAAAATTTGTAATGGATGTCTATTGCACCATGATATATTGGAAATGAACCTCGAAAGGTCCCCACTGAAGTTATTGTAGGCAAGTGTTAAGTTCTTCAATGTGCATATATTCCCTAGTGATGTTGGGAGTTCACCTTGCAGATGATTATAGGAGAGATCAAGATCTTCAAGAGACCTCATTATGTTTCCAAAACCATAGGGAATGAAACCACTAAGCGAATTGTAACTGAGGTCCAGTTCATGAAGATTGAAGGTGAAGTTGGAAATCCAATAGAATATGGTCGTTGATGCCAAATGATTTTGAGACAGATCAAGATGTATAAGAGAAGTGAGGTTGGGATTGAAAGATGTGAAGATAAGATTATTTGATGAAAGGCTACAATTTTCCAAATAAAGCTTTTGAAGATTGGAGCCGAAGTTCAATGTCATTACTGACATCAATTTATTATAAGAGAGATCAAGAACAATGAGAGAAAGAAAATGAAAATGGGAAGATAAAAAATAGAGATTATGAGATGAAAGACTGCAAGTTTGTAGATAAAGCTGTTGAAGGCTGGAGTTGAAGAGGAAGAGCCATTGAAATAATAATGAGTTCAAGTTATAGTCAGAGAGGTCAAGGATGACAAGAGAAGAAGAATAGTTGAAAGAAGAAGCAGATAGAGGAGGGCCATAAGCATAAGAAATGCCACATCCGGTTAGTGTCAATTCTTTTAGTTTTGGCACGAGTTTACCCATCATCATGTGCAACCACATCTGAGAATTGCCGACATCACGCACATAACTCAACTCAAGATTTGTTAATAAAGAGAGCTTTGATATCCACTCTATATCACCATTGTTTTTGTCAGCTACTGTGGGGTTAGAACAATCACCACCAAGTCGTAGAGCGTGGAGCTTGGAGAGATTCCCAAGTCGATAAGGAATCACTCCAACAAGATAATTTTCTCCAAGATCAAGGTACTGCAACTTGGAAAGATTTCCAATTTGCCAAGGGATAGCTCCATCCAAGTGATTGTTACTCAAATCAACATATTGTAAGTTTGAAAGCTTTCCCAGTTGATTGGGAATACTCCCAACAAAATCAGAATAAGAGAGGATGAGATACCTTAAGTTGGTGAATAACTCTATGGATTGAGGGATGTCACTTTGATAGAAACAATTGTCACTGAGATCCAAATGTTTCAGTTCACGCAACTCACTCAACAAAGTAATATTAACGATACCAATCATACAAAATGAACTGAACTACGAAGATCAAGAATTTGAACATGACCTGTTTGGTTGCTGCAATGAACTCCTTTCCAGTTGCAACAATCTTCAGCATCTCCGTCCCTCCATGTGGACAGCATATCATAGTCAACATAGATGCCATGTTTGAACAACAGAAGAGCTTTCCTCTCCTTCTCGATGCAATTCTTCAATGCTTCACCATCAGAGGCCAAACTGAGTCTTGTATGCAGCAACAATAGCAATGTCAATAATGCATTAAAAAAATTGAACACACAGACCATCACAGCGATGAAATAGCTTCAATACAAGTTCAAAAGTAAAACAACTAAAGAGGATTAAAACACACGGTTCTTGGATAACTATGGTTCCTTTTTGTTTATTTTTCTCAGCTCACGAGATGTTGTGAGGCACAAAAATGGATCATCAAATTTATAGAGTTCATTGATGGATCACTTGTACCCTTTTCTGATGAAGACAGGTCATTAGAAGACTAAATGTGGAGAGAACACGTTATTTCAACCACCTTGTTTTTAAAAAAGATAAAAATTAAAAAAAAAGCACAATGTCTTCAGAGTTGATAATATTGAGCATTTTTGTTGGTGTCAGATAGTGCGCTCTTGTAAGATACTCCTCCGATCCTAAATATAAGACCCTTTTGGTAGTGTAAATTACACTACAAAAGGGGTCTTATATTTAGGGTAGGAGGAGTATTATTTTGCTTGGACAAACACTCTTTTTTATCAAAACATTCTCTCACACATCCGCACACGTAATTGAAAGTTGGAATTCATCATTTAATACAAGAGCAACAAAAAAAATCGTTTAATTTATTGACGACATTTCAAAGCAGTGTAAATGTGATCTTAAATCTAAATAATTTAAAAGATGTAAAATTACTTGAAAATTCTCTTCTTATTTTTAGCACCGATTTTGCCATTTTCATACATATTCTCCTCTAACTCAGTCGCGTGACAGCAATGTTTCTAGCAAATCCCAAGTCCTCATAGCTAATAATACCATGTTATTTCCAATATTAGATTATTTAACATTTTTTTACCAGAGATTATTTAAATTAGATGCACTTCAATATCAACTAGAGAATTACTACGGGGTCTCCAAAAAGTTAATTATCAAAAAATACTAATAATAAATAAGCAGTGGTCATTTTCTATATCAAAACTTGTTATTATAAGCCGCTATACATTTATTATGACTTTTTAAAAATTATGTTATTTGCTTAGAACTCCATAGCAATTCTCTCAATATTAATTCTTAGCAGTTTAATGACTCCATTTTTTTTATGTTGAATTTTTATTCTATCGTAACCATGCTTTTGTGACAGCTAAATTTTTATTTTCAACATAAGCTTTGTTGCCGTTATATATTCCATTACTAATTTTCCAAGAAGCTTCGCGACCATATTAGATTATATTAGACTAAAATGAGCGATCATGAAGCTGCAATGATCTTACCGTTACGTGGCATATATATTTAATTTGTAAGTTAAAGTTTCACTTTAAATAAATTATAATTTATGAAAATTATCTTTATATTTGTAGAGACTTAATAGGAGTAGAGTAATATTTGCGAGACTCACATTTTCATGAAAGTAATAATGAAAACGACTAATGAAGTCCGCAGACTTCAAAAGCTGAAGATCGTTGGTTGGCAAAAGAGGGGGGGACTGAAGACCGTTGCTATCATTAATTTAACGTACTTAAAATCTTATGAAGTGTTTGGATTAACTCTTTAAAAATAATTTTACAGTATACAAAATAAATATATGAAAAAAATTATTTTGACTTATGTAAAAATATTTTTTCAAAGTGCTTTTGATATGTAATGACGTTGCTATAGACTTGAAAAGTTGTGATCTGGCTATCACTAAAACTTTTATTCTAGGATAACAACATTATTAAACTTTTTTTTTTTTTGGATTTCTCCATCCAGTATCTCAGGGCAATAGCCATCTTTCAAGCGTGTCAACGGCCCCAAACTAATCCGAATCGAAGGCATGCAAGGAACCTTTTGGTCGGCGCCCTCTGACCCTTAAGGGTGCTGCGTTCCTACAGCTCGAACTCGAGACCCGTGGTTAAGCTAGGACAGCCCCAACCAGCTGACCTAACCCCGCGGGGTTAACATTATTAAACTTTTTAATGGTCCAGTTTCACAGGGACTAATTATGCGTTACAAACATGATGTAGACTTTATTGGACTATGTACAACTTTATTTTATTTTTAAGCATTTTTCTTTAAAGTTATCATCTCTCTTTTTTTTTTTTGGGACTGAAGTTATCATCTGTTTTATGCGTCGCTTGAGAAAAGGAAGAATCGAATTGTGACTGAAAATAAATTAATCACTCAACTTTTTGCATTTTCAGAGAGATCCTGATGGAATCACGAGTTCTTCTATAGTGCATTCACCACTGAGCAATATAATGTTATCAGGGTTTGGGTCTGAAATTAATGGTTTGAAAATATGCTGGGCCTATTAAGTTCATAAGCTTGTATGATTGGACATCCTAAAGGACTCAATTGTAACTGGGCTGCCCAATTTTCCATTGGGCCAAAGAGTATTAACTAAAAGCCCAATAATAAAAAACAAGAATTGTCCTTCCCTAAGATCCGGTAAGCCCATAACGCCTAATTTAGAACTGTCAAATCATTCCATTAATTTCAACTCACTTCAATCTTCAGCACCCCCCATCAACGAGGGGGCCTCAACATCCATAGAGTGAGTTTTTTATACTACATCTGCTACTAAATATAAAATTTATTTTTATAGTATTGAATATTTCATTCTGTAACATAACAAATATATTTACGTCTTTTTATCAAATTTCACTGTCGTTTTAATTCTCATTCTTATAAAAAATATGTCACCAACTCCTTAAGAGCTTATAATATCTGTGCCCTAAGTTGAGAGAATATCATCAAAATTCAAAAGAAAGGGAAGTGAGTTTTGTCGGAGACTTCTTATTAATTTTTTTTAACATTATTCAATGAAAATTTGGAAAAAAAAATAAAGTATATTTCTATGAAGATACAAAATATAAATTAAAAAGTAAGGATAGATTCAGCACCTTTATTTTATTTTTCAGATATATTCAGTATTCTGATCCAGACCTTTTCTCTTCTGTTTTTTGTGTATCAAATACTTTAACCTTATATTCTAATTTTTATAGTGTTAAATATAGCTAAAAAAATAATATAAAGTATTAGGTATACCTTTAAATGTTTAAATATTTTTTTATGTGATTCTGTTTTTCACATACAGATATAAAAAGATGCTTGCTTACCCAAAAAAAAAAAGATATAAAAAGATGCCCGTTTTCATTGATCAGGAAACGAACACTTTTGCCTCAATCATGAATGTACTATTAATTACTTAGCAGACGGGAAAAAGAAAACCCACAACGATACGTACTATTATTGCGATAACAGGTGCATCAAAAACCAGTTGTCATCACATGTGGTCACTACTTTATCGACTGAAATATCACGTGGTCACCTGATCATATAAAAAAGCTTAGACAAGTTTTTGATGAAGTATTATGTTCTCATTGTTAGGATTTAGGAGGATTAAGGGGAAAAAAATATTAACTACAAATAAATACAGTGACCTTAATTTCATTAATCATCTACAAAATATGACTTCTCGCTCTTCTTTACAGGTTACGCTGTTCCCAATCTGTAGTAACAAATAATGAAAAGAACCTAGCACGTAAAAAAATTACATATACAAATTAAACGATTCTCAGCAAGGAACCAACTATAAAGGGGGCAACAAAATGTAATCATAGGATTCTTTTCTCCCGAAAAATCGAATCCTCCCACATATAAACATATGCATGGTCTATTCGCCACGTCAAATTAATAAGATCATCTTATCTCCTGAACCAGGCAAAAGTACAACCACATGGGAAGGAATTAAATTAAAGCAAATTAATTAAAGGCATGCAGTTATTAGAAACTTCCAAATCAAGATTTGTAGCGAATGGTCTGGATGGATTTAATGTTTTATTCCGCTTAAGGCACGTCTCTCTTTTTTATTTGTACCCCGAAATATTAAGTGAATAAATGTCCGTTTAAGATATTACCTCCAATTCTAAATATAAGATTTCGTTTGTAAATTATAAATAAGGTTTTATATTCAGAGGAGGAGGTAGTATTATTGAAATTTAATGAAAAAAGCTAGTTAGATTTGAATTGCTCGCTATATAGATTCTATGTATATTGTCCATGGTTGAGTGAACTTGTTGGGAAGTGCAGCGGAGACCAATCTTCTATTAGAAGTGGTTACTAATAAGAATCATCATCTTTATAATTAACACACGTGCTATAGAAAACGGAGGCGATTGAATTAATGGGTGTGTGAATAGGATAAGAAAGAAATTAGCTAGCTGTTAAGGGCCTTAAAAGAATAATAATGCACCGCCCAATTGGTGTAATCATATGTTGATATATATATGTATATATATTACACAAATCATATTTATACATACATATATATCATATTATTTTTCTCCAAATATTTCAAAGTATAAATATCTAAATTTTAAATATTTTATTTGACAAGAAGGTTGATGCTGCTCCTACACCTTGGTGGTCCCGTCACGTTGCTTCGCAGGACTCCTGCTAACAATTTGAAATTTTTACGTTTATAAGCATAAAAATATATAGACATATTTTTAAAGATAAAAATAGAAATACAAAAATAAAATAAGAATTTTATGCATGAGTTGTATTGTTCTTACTTGGAGATAAGTAAGAATCAATTAACTACTGGCAAAAGTCCAGATGTTTGCGCCAAGATCGAGTCCAGATGTTTGTGCTATCATATTAATTGCTGATGGATGAACTAAGAATCAATTATAGGAAATTAGAACTTTGAAACAAGTGATTCTGTATAATGCACGGCTCCCTTAACAAATACCAGAACACTTGTATCTCCAAGAGCTCCATTATGGACGTACGATGTTGGTCCCCTTGCCCTGGAATCAGTGGCTACGAAATTTGACATTCAAAACACGTGCTGCCAAGCTGTCTTATTGTATATTAATTGATTGATTCTTGGGAAAATTGAATGAGAAATTTGGGAAGAAGAAGGACCAAAACTTGAAAATCATCATTACAGACTCC